CTCTCTCTCTCTCTCTCTCTCTCTCTCTCTCTCTCTCTCTCTCTCTCTCTCTCTCTCTCTCTCTCTCTCTCTCTCTCTCTCTCTCTCCCCTTCTCATCCCCTACACCCTAGCCTGGCAGGAGGCGCTTCACCCTCTAACTTCATAGCCTAGGCGTACTCCCTCCTCCTCCTACTCCATAGCCATGGAGGTCTTCATCCTCGCTCTCCAGCTCCACCGCTCAGCAGGAGCTCCACTCATCTTTACCCTCTGGCTGGAGCAGCAGCATGACTGCCAGGTAAGATTCCGCTTCACCCAATGTGCCTGAATGATATACTCTTGCTACTTGGCCTCCGGCCACACTTTGGTTGCGGTACTACTGCCTCTCCAGTGTGCTAGGCCTACTGAAGGTTTCTGCCTTTTTGCGGGAACATAATTCCAGCCTGCAATTCTACCTCAGGGCCTGTATCTAACCTTACCCGCTATCAAGGTACAGACTCCGACTACCCGTGACCTTTTCGGAAACTACCGGGTCCTTCTAACCCTACCGAACGCCTGCTGGGCCTAGCTGAGTTGCTGGAAAATCCCTACCGGGTACCAGCCAAATTCCGCTTGTGTCCCTCTCTGTCCTGGCCTTCTCTTTCCTGGCCTTCCCAGAAGTCCTTCCGGTATCGAATTTCAGGGTTGTCCCTGCGGTTTCCCTGTTTCTGAACTAACCCTTCCCTGGACACAGGAAACACAGGACAAGCACAGAGTTAGTACTCTGCTTAGCAATCATCATATAGGGACTTAGATACATGCAAACAAACAGCAATCTCACAGAACAATGCGAATCTGAAAATATCAGCAAAGCAAACCATCCAGCAGCAATACTCAGAACATTTTTTTTTTTTTAATGATAAAAAAACGAAGATAAAAAATATTAAAAATCTTAATTTTTTTTTGGTTTTGAGTCTTTTGACTTTTTAACTCGAGTTTGGTTACGAATTTGAGTGTGCCTTGCGAACGTGTTTGGCAAACGTTGTTTGTATTATTATTTTATTATTTTATGTAACATATATTTTCTAGGGAGATATCCCGGGCGCCCGGGTCCCGACGTCACGCCCGGTTTGGCGACCGGGTGACTGCTCGGGCATGGGCCTGGGCAGCCCCAGCACAAAAAAAAAAGAAAAAAACGAACTCCAAAAAAATCTGGAAAAAACAAATGTTGTGTAGAATTCCGATACAAACAACTTTTGGCTGAGGGTTACATCAGAATTCCTCACGGAACTCAACATAAAAATTAAAAATAAAAAATCACACTAAGGCACCCCCCTTTAAACCCCTTTAGCCCCTTTAAAATTCATTTATACTCCCCTTCCCACCCCTTGACAGCCAACTCTCAAAAAAGGAAAAGAGCCCAGATTTGGGCTCCTCTCAGAAAGCGCAGAAAAACCCCACCGCCAATTTTTTCTTCCTCCCCTCCCCATCCTGGGTGTCAGACCCCCCCGGGCGTCATGCCCGGGTGACCGGCTGGTCCAGACTCCTAGATGTTTATTATTTTTTCCAGATTTTTTCTGAGAATTTTTTTTTTTAATTATAGTTTTTTATGTTCGTGTTCGGAGGGTTTTGGCGCTCGTTGCGTTCGGTTGCGAACGTTCGGGTTCGGTCACCGAACGTGAACACGATGCCACACAGCTGTAGAGGTTGTGATCCGTCACACACCGATGTCGTTGTACACTTGTAGGTTTTATCCGACTTTGCAAAAGGAGGGCAAGGGAAAAGAAACGCGCAGCCCACAATCAGGCCACACGTCGCAGTGGTTGCCCAAACACACTCAGTGCACAATGCGCGTGTTTGTGGTCAGATGCGCGCAATGCCGCATCGCTCCACCACTCACCAAATTTCTCCAAAATGAGAATGAATCTTCTGCGAGGACGTGGAAAGATACATCGCCAATCTTCTTTCTTGTTTTTACGTGTGCGAGCGGTGGAGCAAGCGAATGTTATGAATTCTTTGCTGTAGTTTGCTCGAGGCTCATATCACGTGAACGGCCATTACTTTATTTTGTTTTGTCTTTTTCCCTCAGTAGAGACGGCCGTTCGCACTTGGCGGCCTACAGAGAAACACGCGGGCATGGACAGCCGCTTTCTCCACGTTTCTCTTGGCCCCAACAGGGCTGTTTTCTTCTTTTTGGCTGCCTCACCTGGACCCGCCCAGGCCCGAAGCCAAAAACTTTTACTGCATAAACCGGTAAAAAAAAAAAAGAAAAAAAAAAAAAGAAAAGGTAAGAGCCCTACTCTGTTTCGTGTGAACTGGTGGTTTTTAAGGGAGGTAACCAATTATGCGGTCTAGAGATCCCTGGACCACAACGAAGGGAATCGTCGAGTGGGTTGCTGATGTTGTTGGGGAGGCTGGACCCGTTTTCCAGCTTTTTAAATGCAAGTATTGTTTGTTTGTTTGTTTTTTAAAGAGAAAAGGAGGAGGATAAAATTAAATTCCGATAAACTCAATTAAATTGAGGTATCGGCAGACTGGCAAAGGGTTCAGCGGCTTCAGCCTCATGATGGTCCCGCAAGAATCGGGCCAAAGTCTGTCACAGCCCACAACCACTCTTGTCACTCTCTCCCCGACGGTCCATGTATATGTTGTCGTATGGAATTGCCTACTGTCTTCACCCGAATAGAATGCCTGGTAATTTTTGCCGTATCTGGGCCGAAAGGTGTGCCAAATGCAGCTATAATGACCGGGCGTTCTATTCGGGTGAAGACGGAAGTGAACCATTGATAAAAAGAAAAAGACAAAAAAGGAGGTGTCATGGCAAACTGCTACACATTAATGTAACCGGCAGACTGCTGCTCCTCAGAATGGAAGCAACCAGATCCTCAGGGTTCTGATTAAAAAAAATAAAAAATAAAATAAAAAAATCACTGCCCTAGAAAACACATGAAGAAGAAGTTGGCATTTTTTTTCTGGACTATCTTGTCTTCCTTTTGTTATCCGCGGGGGAGTCGGGGACCTCTCATCTTCCTGTAGGACCATGGGGCTCTTTCTTTTATGCTCTTTGCCAGTTTTTGTTAAGCTTGTTTGTATGGACCTTTCCTCTGACACTCTCTCTCTCCCCTGATCTTTCTTACATGCTTTTTTTTTAAGGGAAAATTTTCGAGATGCCCCTGAAATTTCCATTAATTTGCCGCGTGCCCCTCTGGACGCCGACTTACCCTGTCGTGCCCCTGGGGCCTCTGAAGTTTTCTGCAGGCCCCTGTCAGCATGGGCCACAACTTTCCGCTATGCCCTTACCGGACCGCGAATGGCGTTTCGTCGGTACCTCTTCGAAATACCCTCACAAGGGGGATGCATCTTTCTGTGACGCCCTTGCAGCAGGCCACCGAAAATGCTGCAGCAGTCGGTCTCTTCACGTTCACTGGTTGGAGTTGCTGCCGTGCGAAGGTGAGCGTGTGTGTGCGTGTGTGTGTGTGAGTGAGTGAGTGAGAGAGAG